TTTACTTCTATAGTTTTATCGTTTTGGGTCTTGCATTAAGGTCTCTGATCCATTTTGAGTTAGTTTTATGTATGATATAAGATAAAGGTCCCACTTCATTCTTTTACATTTGGACATCCATTTTCTCCAGCAGCATTTGTTGAAGTGACTTTTTCCTCATTGAGTGGCCTTGGCATCTTTACTAAAGATTATCTGACCAAATATATGAGGATTTCTTTCTCTTTTTTTTTATACTCATAGTTATGAGTTTATTCTGAGAATTATGTTTATACAGAGTAAAAACACCCAAAGGAAGAGATGCATAGGGAAGAGTCTAAAAAAGTCTGCAATGTGGAACTTTCTTTTGTTCTTTCCCTGTGGAATGAGGACAGCACTTCCTGACATCAGCGTGTGACTTTGCTCACGTCGTGTTGTTAACCACAGGACCTCAATCTAGTCTTGGTGTCCAGGGTCTTTACTTGGGCTCCACCATGATCTAACTATGAGGACTTATTTCTGTACCTTCCATTCTATTCCTTTTATTTATTTTCAGAGGCAAGTTTTGTACATGATCTATTTGCTTTCTTGTCCCTTCTTTCAATATAATAATGGCACTATGAAACATTTAAGAATATTTTTGCTTCATCTTTTATTTTGAAGGAATGTTTTACTGGATATAGAATTTTTAATTAACTGTTTTCTTTCAGATCTTCAAATATGTCACTCCACTTTCTTCTGGCCGCCATTGTTTCTATTAAGAGTATTGTTGCTTCTCTCTAATTGATGAGTTGTTGTTATTGTTGTTGTTGTTGTTGTTGTTGTTGCTGTTTTCAAGATTTTCTGTCTTTGGTTTTCAACAGTCTGACTATGATGTATCTAGATGTGCATCTTTTTGTAGATATCCTATTTGTGATTTGTTGAGTTTCTTTGATGTATATATACATATTTTTCATCAGATTTTGAATGTTTTCAGCCATTATTTCTCCAACTATTTTCTTCTGCCTTTTTTCTCTCTCTTATCCTTTTAGAACTCCCATTATACACATTTTATATGCTTGTTATTCTTTGAAACTTTTTTATTTTTTAAAATAAAAATTTTTTAAATAAAATTTTTTCCTCTATGATTTTCAGATAATTTATGGAAAGTCTACTTGTTGAGTCATGTTTTACTTTAATATTTGAAACATAATTTTAGTTCAATGAACATGCATATAATAGTTTTTTAAAAAACAATTTTAACTGTCACATTCAACCATCCAGTGACTCTCAGAGACTTTTTTTTATTAGATGATTTTATTTTCTAATTTTGAGCTATCCACTTCTTGTTTCATAATTTTATGCTCTTTTAAAAAGTACTCAACTGTTTAATCCTCTGGATTTTTTGCGTTTTTTTGAGATATAGATTTACTATTTTAGTCTAATGTATTCCAAAAAAGTGTGTTTAATTATCTCAATGCCATGGATGAATATCCCATTTTATACCTTCTAAAAGGAAATGTTATCTTTATCAGTATAAAATTTGCTTGTATATATGAATCTGATTCTGTTGGCATTCTCTCCAATAATTCATTTGTGTATCAGTGTCAGGACTAAATTGTTTGAATTATAATAGCTTCATATATTTTGCTTAGTTCAAAATGATAAGAGCTTTTATTATTCTCATTTTAAAAATCTTTTTGATTTTCACATTTAATTTTATTGATGAAAATTAGAATTGAGTAGTCAAGTGCCAGAAAGTGGTATTTGTTTTTTTGTGGGCATTGTTTTTATGTTTATTTTATTAGAGCAGTATTTCTGAGTTCAAAATACTGATTTGTAAATATTTGCACTTAAGATATATTTTACATACTTCAATATTTTATTTTATATTTTTACTTCAGGTCACTTTTACATATATCTGGTTAAGTTTTTGCTTGCATGTTTATTCATTTATGTATCTATTTACCATTAAAAATGTTTCTCTTCATTGTAAATTTCATCTAGGTTTCAACACAAAAATATAGACTTTTCATGTAATTATCATATTGTTTACTTTACTGAATTTTCTTATTATTTCTGATCTTTTTCAGATGCTTATCTTGCATTTTCTAGTGAAACAACCATATTATCATCAAATAATTGTTTTTATTTTGAAAATATTTAGTGCCCTATATATTCTTGTTTTATGGCATTGGCTTGAATCTCTATAAATACATCAACTCATACTGATGCAAGCAGGCATTCTTACATTGTTTCTGAATTTACTGATAAATTTCTTAGTGCTTAGCCATTAGCATCATACTAACTTTTATTTTTTTATTTTTTAAACTTTTAATTTTTGTTTTTTAAAGATGTAGGGTACAATTCAGGTTCAGGTATACAGATGCTCATTATGCAAGTACCCTTGTTGATGAGGTGTGCCCCTCTTCCCAAGCAGACTCCCACTACTGCCAATTCTACTTCCTGGTCCCATTCCTGGCAGTTTCCTGCTACTGCCAATCCTTTTCTTGTAGTATTACAATAATTGTTCAAGGTCTGCTCATGAGTGAGAACATGTTATACTCAGTTCTTTGTTTCCGTGAAAGATCACTCAGTATTATAGACTCTAAGTCCATCCAGGTTGCTGTGAAGTTCATGATTTTGTTCTTTTTTATGGTTGTGTAATATTCCATCATGTATATGTACATTTTTTTTTCCCAGTCCTCTGTTGATGGGTAGCATGGTTGGTTCCACGTTCTTGCTACTGTGAACAATGCTGCGATAAACATACATGTGCAGTTATCTTTTTTATAGTGATTTGAGTTCTTCCAGGTATATCCCCAGTAGGGAGATTGCAGGGTTGTATGTAAGGTTGATTTTTAAATCTTTTAGGAATCACCACACTGGTTTCCACAGATGCTGTACTAGTTTACACTCCTACCAATAAAGTATAAGTGTTCCCTTTTCGCTGCATCCTCTCCAGCATCTGTTGTTTTTGAGTTATTGATGATGACCATCCTGACTGGAGTTAGGTGGTATCACATTGTGGTTTTAATTTGCATTTCTTTGATGACTAGTGAGGCTGAGCATTTTTTCATGTATCTGTTGGCTGCTCGTATGTCTTCTTTTGAGAACTGTCTCTTCATATCTTTTGCCCACTTTGTAATGGGACTGTTTTTTTTTTTCTTTTCAGTATGTTTGAGTTCCTTGTAGATTCTAGGTTTTAGACCTTTATCAGACATAGAGTTGTCAAATATATTTTCCCACTCTGTGGGCTGTCTTCCCACTCTCTTGATGGTTTTTTTGACTTTGCAGAAGCTTGTCAGTTTGATGAGATCCCGCTTGTCTATCTTATCTCTTATGGCATGGGCACTTGGGGTCTTGATCAGGAATTGGTTGCCAGTTCCAATTTCCATAAGGGTGTCTCCCGCATTTTCTAAGGCTCTTATAGTTTGAGGTTTTACATATAGATCTTTGATCCATTTAGAGTTGATTTTTGTGGATGGGGATAGTAGGGATCTTGTTTTAATCTGCATGTGGTCAGCCAGTTTTCCCAGCACCATTTTCTCTCCCCATAGGTTCTCCTCTCCCCAGTTGTTGGTGGTAGAGGCTTTATCGAAGATGAGTTGGTTGAGAAATGGAGGTTTTGCTTCTGGAATCTCTATCCTGTTCCATTGGTCTATATGCCTGTTCTTGTACCAATACCAGGCTGTCTTGATTATTGTAACTTTATAATAGAGTTTAAAGTCTCAGAGTGTGCTTTTTTTTTTCCTGGGAATTGTTTTGGTGATTCATTTCCGTTTATGCTTCCGTATGAATTTCTGTATTGTTTCCAGTTCTGAGAAGAATGCTGCTGGCAAATTAGTGAGTATTGCATTAAATCTGTAGATTGCCTTAGGTAGGGTATACATCTTAACAATGTTGATTCTTCCAATCCATGAGCATGGAATATTTTTTCATTTGTTTGTTTCAACTTTGACTTCTTTGAGCAGTGTTTTGTAGTTTTCATTGTAAAGATCTTTCATGTCTCTTGTTCATACTAACTTTTAAAAATATTAGCTATTTATTTTACTTTTTCTCTCAATTCCTAGCTTACTGACAGGTTTTAGTTTTTTGTTCTTTGTTTTTGTATTTGTCAAGAATGAATCTAAAGTCTTTTCAAAGGCTGTAAACATCTGTTAAGAATGATCAAATCTTCCCCTTTAGAATCAAGAAGATATTATTTTATACTGCTTTTCAAGAAATATTTATGTTTTCCTTTCACATTTACATCTTCAATTACTTAGAATTGATTTTTTTGTTGGTATTGTGATGTAGGGTCCTATTTCATTTCTATCTTTAAGAATGCTCAATTGTTCCTGCAATAAGATAACAGTTTATTGAAAAGTAAGTACCTTTCTTATTGATATTCAGAACTACTTATATTCCTATATTAGATGCCTGTACATGTAGGGTCTGTTTCTGGGATATCAATTACATTTTGTTTGCTTCTGCCAATTCCTAGGGACATTATCAGTCTGTACCACTTAAAAACTCCATTCTAGATTTGAGATTCTTTTTCAGTCATCCAGCAATGTGAATTTGGGCTGCATGTCTGTACATGCTGGCTTGTATTTCTATCTTTACTCTTTCTCCATGATAAACAATCAAGGCAACTCTGTAGCAACCTCTTCAGTATTCTTTAACCCTTTGAGTTCCACTTAAATTAGAGAAAGGGTATGAACACTGAAATTTGAGTGTTTCAAGGATGAGGAATAGCTCCACCACAAGAGTTGCTTTGGTGCTGAGGCTCTCTCCTATATTCACTTAGATTTGGCTTTAAAAGCTCTTGCTCTTTTGTCTACCTTTCTATGTTTTTAAAATAAATTATCCAGGATTTTTAGATTTTTTTCCACACTGGAAGAGGTGATTTGAATAAACATCTCCTCCTTGTGAGTATTTTCTACAATGTTTTTGTTAAATTTATAAGAAAATGGTTGAATCTTTCATGACAAAAAATAAACAAGTTTTGCTCATTGAGTTTGAAAGCCATGGCGTTGATCATTCTACTTATTTTTCTTTGCTTTTAGCCATACCTTCAGAGTATCGTTTTCCTTTTTGTTATACGGTGTCTGGAAATGAAGTATGGAAATGAAATAATGAGGAAAGATCCTGTTTTCAGGTTGGGAGAATATTAATTGACATCTGAATGTTATTTAAATATTTAATCTTTATTGGAATGCATTTGACATCAATTTTTAAAAATGAATTTACTATCTAACGCTTGGCTAAGCATGTTGGACAGTGCTATTTTGAAAAAAAAAAACAAAATTAGACTGAATGCAGGAATATTTAGTTTCTAAGTCACAGGTCTTTCTGATTTTAGGCAAGTTGATTTTTTTTTCCTATGCATCTCTATAAGTAGTGGTCAAGCACCACAACTTGTTTTTCTTCCTGCTTATGGCCGTTGTAGGTCCCTGAGCAGAAAACACAGTAACACACTGGTGCTCAACGTAAGTATGTGGAATATTTTGAAAAGGCAAGAAGAGTCAGTTAGGTGATCTTTCATCTTGGAAAACGATAGTGATCTGGATAGTGACGATGGGCTAAAAGACTGATAAATCTCTGCGTGAGAGAATTTTAAAAAGCAGAGCCAGCTGACAGGTGGAATCAAAGATTTTAAAGAGAATACATGGTCAAAGGGGATTTCAAGGGACGTGGCTACTGGCGATGGTATTTCTGTCAAGGGCAATCTTGTAGGCAATAAGTTAACCGTTTTAGATTTCTTTCAAACAAAGGATAATAATTTGATTGTAGAGATTTACATTTTCTTGATAGTGGTTGTATGGCTAGAATTGCATTTTTATGTCACTTTATTTTCTCTGTAGAATCTCTCCAAGAAACAGGGAAACGTATCCAAACCCAGAAGAGCTAGAAGAAGAAGATGAAGATGTTCAAGCTGAAAGAGTCAAAGCAGCAAATGCACTCAGTATTTCAAACTTGGATGAGGTGGTGCCAGTGACTAGACCCTTAATGAAATGCTGAGACAGTTAGCTTGTCCTGTAGAGTTGAGGAGAGTTGGTTCTTACTGGGAAAACTTGCTTTTTTCCCTGGAGCATTTCTACTTGCAGTTCATATTCCGTTAGTTATCTTTAAAAGTATCTACCCCATCCACATCATTTTAACTGTTTCTTCTTCGGTTTCCCGTGGGTCTTAATCTACCAGCTCCTGACTCATCAGTGTAATTTAAGAAGTTATCTGATATTTCTACCAACTTGAAGGAAATCCCACATGTTTTTAAAGAGTTATTATTTCATTTGGCATTATAGTGAAATTGCAATGTTAACAACTGTGAACCGCATATGAAAAAGACCCAGTGAATGTACAATGCATAGAAATCAATAAGGAATAAAATGGGAATGAAATTAGTGGAAAAGGCAAGAACAGATGCTCAGCATAATGCAGAGGAAGGTGTTTGATTCAAAATTAGTTTTATTAGTAGTTGATATGGCAGACTTTATTCATGAACCTAAATTTGGGTATTTTACTTGAAAAAAGAGACTGAATATTTTCAGCTTGGCACAAAATTTGGTTAGGGTTCATAGATTAGAAAATGGAACATAAGACATGAGTTCATAGACTATCTGAAGTTTAATAGGGACATCATGATTCTTCCATGTCTTCCAGAAACCAGTCATTATAGCAAGCTGTTTACGCAAGGAATATAAAGAAAAAAAGAAAAGTTGCTTTTCAACAAGGAAAAAGAAAGTAGCTGTTAAAAATGTCTCCTTCTGCGTTAAAAAAGGTTTGCATCAGTGTTCCCTTTATTAAAATATTTCTTACTCTGCAGGCTTAGGAATATGAAAAGGGTAACCTGCTATTCCTTGAGACTCTCTGTACATCTTGGTTACCATGTAATTATAAAACTTCTCCACATGTCAGCAGAGAAGTCTTTTCTACTTTGAAATCACGTCCCAGTTCAAATGGCAAGCAACCCGATCTTGGATCAGGAAGACCAAAATTGTTTCCATTAATGTAACATAGGAAATTATCAAGATACAGACTGAGCATTTGTTTCAAACTGTAATTTTGTTTCAAAATATTATGGAACAAAACATTTTTGGCCTAGTCAGCCTTAAAAGTAAAAATATCGATAATAACCCTTCGTTTCAGGTGAAATTTTGGGATTATTAGGACACAATGGAGCGGGTAAAAGCACTTCTATTAAAACGATAACTGGGTGCACAAAGCCAACTGCAGGAGTGGTATGTAACATGTGAAGCAAATTTAAATATCAATGGCATCCTTCTATTCCTATCAGTAAATACATTTTAAAAATATATAAATAAGTAGAAGAAAAAATTATAAAATGTCTCTTGCATGCTCCCAAGATATTGCAGCCTAATGACTAATTTATCTCCTTTAGTAAGAGAGGGATGAGGCAAAAGCTGAAGGTGGATCTGACATCCGGTCTCCTGTGCAGGTGCTGTTACGGGGCAGCAGAGCCTCGGTGAGGCGGCAGGAAGACAGCGGCCTCCAGTTCTTGGGGTATTGTCCTCAGGAGAGCTCACTGTGGCCCAGCCTCACAGCGAGAGAGCACCTGGAGCTGTACGCAGCTGTGAAAGGACTGGGCAAAGACGATGCTGCCCTTAGCATTTCACGGTACAGAGAGAAAGCCCACTTGCAGTCTGCGTCTGGGAGAGGGGAGGGCTATGCAGTTTCTCCAGGAAGGAGATCGGAAGCAACGTCTTTACATTTTACGCAAATAAAATGAGGGGAAATTCCCGAAAAGGGTCAAATTGTACGATTTAGCCCCTCTGACATGTTAACGATGACGAAAGGCACTGTCTTCAGATTGATGGTGCTTAGGGTTTTCCATACTGTTGTTTTAGATAGATGTATTTCCCATGTACCTCATGTTTAATCTCACCGGTTTTTGTCAGGTTGGTAGATGCACTCCGGCTGCAGGACCAGCTGAAGGCTCCTGTGAGGACCTTGCCGGAGGGAGGGAAGAGAAAGGTACGGCCGACTCGGGGTCCCTTGGGGCACCCCCAGCGGGGTGCCGACAGACTGCTCCTCTCCTTGCAGCTGTGCTTCGCCCTGAGCATCCTGGGGAACCCGTCGGTGCTGCTTCTGGACGAGCCGTCGACCGGGATGGACCCTGAGGGCCAGCGGCAAGTGTGGTGAGCAAAGTGAAGGTTAAGTGCAGCGTCAATAAGATGTGTCTAGAGTTGGTGTTTTGTTAGTTTGTTTTGTACATTTTGCTTCATCAACCTTCAATGGATGCTCACATCCTTTATTATTTCATTCGGTGACACCCAATGCAGCATTCAAAATTCCTCAAGGAAGCCAAAAACAGACATTTGAAGACTCCAGCAGACTCTTGACTGGCCTTGATTGGGCTTTCTTTACTTCTCCCTCTCTCTTTCTTCTTCCGTTTTTTTTTGTTTTTTGTTTTTTTTTGAGTTGAAGTCTCACTCTGTCGCCCAGACTGGAGTGCAGTGGCCGCCACCGCAGCCTCGACCTGCTGGGCTCCAGCGATCCTTCCGCCTCAGCCTTCCGAGGAGCTGGAACTATAGGCATGCACTACCACGCCCGGCTGATTTTTTGACTTATTGTATAGAGGAGGTCTTGCCTGCCCAGGTGGGTCTTGAACCCACAGGCTCAGGCAATCCAATCACCTTAGCCTCCCAAAGGCGCGGGATTACATGCTGAGCCACCGAGCCCGGCTGTTTTATTTTTCAGTTGTAGAAAGCCCTATAGTGTGCCGCTTCTCTATTTTTACCACACCTTCTTTTTCGCAAACATTATTTTACTTACTATTTACAGACACTCTACTTTTTCCCAATGAAACCAATGTAGTAATATAATTTGGTGACACAGCACAATTTTTAGTCTTTCCCTTCATAGCAAAGATTTTCTTTTGTAACCTAATATAATTTGTTTTTCTCTTTAGATTTCATACTTGTTCCTATTCATCTACTTTCCTAAATTATCTCCTAAATGCAAATGATCCCTCACTTTGTCCTTAGGCTGGCACTTCAGACCACTGTTAAAAACAAGGAGAGGGGTGCCCTCTTGACCACCCACTACATGGCAGAGGCTGAGGCTGTGTGTGACCGTGTGGCCATCTTGGTGTCAGGAAAGTTAAGGTGGGTGCCTGTCTTGAGCCAGCATTTGACTGCCGTGTTCTTACAGAGAGTTTCAGTTCACTGTGAACAGCTGACACCCTTCAGCTCCTTAATCTATAATTAAACACCTTCCTCTGCATTGGAAATCAAGGAAGGAATTAAGAGAGAAGTATTTTGTCTTTCAACTCCTCGTTCTCTTCCTTGGACTAGGTGTATTGGTTCCATTCAACATCTGAAAAGCAAGTTTGGTAAAGATTATATGCTAGAAATAAAAATGAAGGATTCTACTCAAGTGGAACCTCTCCACACAGAGATTCTGAAGCTTTTTCCACAGGCTGCAAGGCAGGAAAGGTAAAGAATGTGTTTAAGTAACAGGTGTGTTTTCCACTATCAGCATAATTTGGTTTTGTTCTAGTATGCGCAGGAAGAGGAAGGTGGAGCTGGCTTGTTCTTTATAAAAGAGGATATTTGGGGATCACCAGAATGTATTTAAAAATAAAAAGAAAGCAACTGAGGTGGAAAATCCCTTGATCCTAGGAATTCAAATACAGTCTGAGCAATGTAGGGAGACTCTGTCTCTTAAAAAAAAATCAGTTGAACAGTTACTTTCACTGAGTGTTTTAGAATTCAGAAAAGGTGAATGGTGTGTGTGTGTGTGTGTGTGTGTGTGTGTGTGTGGTGTGTAAATTGTGGAATGACTTAAGGATTAAGAACAAAATACTGACAAATTAAGCCATCAATTTAATGATTTTTTAAAAGGCAATGAAAATAATGTACTCACCTGTAGTATTTTACTCAATATGAAGTTACATCAAGAGCTCAATAATACAGACTTACATACTTGAGAAAGAATGACTCTATCCTAAATTCTCTGATTATAAATCTTTTGATCCTCTCTATGGTTGTACGTGGTCAACCATGAGTTACAGGCAGTGATAATCAAACCAATGTGAGCAGCAGAATGAGACTGAATTTAACTGAAAGACATACAGAATTGTCTTATGTACTACTTCTATTTATCTTTTATAGTATCTGTTGAACACCTATGTGCTGGAGGCTATGTTCTGAGTAGTCAGTAAAGTAGACAAGGTTCTTATGGTGCTTACAGTCTTTTGGAGGTGAGGATATTAAGCAAATGAAGATACAAATAAATGAGGATATAATATGGAGGCGGAACTTTAAGGCTGAGCAAGGTTGGTTAGCTGAAGAATGAGAATATGAGACACTGGAGATGCCAAAATACAGAGATGTAGACACCTGTGGCTCACAGGAAAAGGAAGAGGTCACTGAGATCTAGTCTGGCAATAACTGAAGTGGGATATTTTTAACAGACAGAAGACTATTAAACTAGGAGAATAGTAAGGTCAACAAGAGGGAGAGAACGTGAAGAGGGTCTGGGATGGACCCTAGGAACTCTCAGCTTTGAGATAGGATTGGGGAAGAGAAGAAATATGTTTCCTGTGAGGAAACTACTATCACCTGCAACCTTATCAACACATACTGGTGTCTAGAACAGCATGGCCATTCAAATTTCTGTGATGATGGAAATGTCCTCTATCTCTGCTGTCCAGTATGGTAGCCACTACTCATATGTAGTTACCAAGCATTTCAGATGTGGCTAATATGACCAAGAAATTGTTTTTTAAGTTTTCTTATGGTAGTTACTCTAAATGTAAACATAGACACATGTAGTTAGCAGCTACCCTATTAAAAAGTGTGGGCCTAGAGGGTTAGAAGAAAAATCATGAGTGTGGTTGTCTCAGAAGCTGAGAGAATGTTTTAAGGAGGATAAGTACAATTTTATTTAATGCTTTTGAGAAGTCTGAAAAATACAGACTAAAGAGCGTTCATTGGATTGCACAACATGGAAGGAAGCCTGACGGTCAAGAAATAATTTTTTTTTTAAGAGGAGAGCATTCAACAGATTTTAATTCTTATAGGAGAGACTGTGAATTAAAAGCAGATGGAAAAATTAACACAAAGGTTCTAGAAAGATTGCGTTTTGAGAGTAAGACATATATAGTACAATAAGAAACATAGTGCAGGCTGAGTATGAAAAATTGTCAGAGTTTTTTCTCAGAATTTATCTTTAGCATTAAATTTGGGGCAAACAGATTTTTGTTTTTATAGCATTTTTTATGACTGAAAATAAGTTGTTAGACACAGATTCAAGCTCTATCAAATCAGCCATGAAAAAATACTTTTTTATTTAAATAAAACTTTGAAAAAATATTTTGTTATTTTGGCTATTCATTCCTCCCCAATATTATACCACTAAAACACAGGGATAAATTTCACTATTTCTTCCTCTCAGGTATTCCTCTTTAATGGCATATAAGTTACCTGTGGAGGATGTTCGCCCTCTATCTCAGGCCTTTTCCAAATTAGAAGCAGGTAAGTTGGGGCATATTTAAATAAGATTTTAGGTATCGGTTGCATATTTTCATGTAGGAAACATACCATGCAATTTCAAGTAGAACAAGTAAGTAATCCATCAAGACCTGGAGAACCTCCACTAAAGTAGACTTAGCAGTCTTGAAGGAAACTTAGTGGTGGCCCTAGATGGTGGTTTGCTCCACCTGGTTCCTTCTGTGTGGACAAGGAAACCCAGCAGCAAGTCAGGTCACTTCATACTGCAGGATTGAACTGGGGGTACCAGGGCTGTTTCTTGCCATGACCACAATGCATGACATTGAAGGATAATTATCAAAATGTTGTCCCATTGAATACCAAGGTGTTTTTAGTGTCTCTATATGTATGAAACCCAGAGGTAGCTGAAGCAAATGTGTGGAACCAACGATTGGCAGACCAAATGAAGGTTAGAGAACGAAAACAGAGGGCTGAGATGTAACAAGCCAAGATCGAGGAGGGGCTTCTGAGCAAGTTCCAGAGATACCAACTGAGCTCACACTGAACTTTTCTAAAGCCTTGGCATGTAGCATTGTGAGAGTCATTAAAAGGGAGCCAGCCTGACGTGGACTCCTTCAGAGATTTACAAATATAGAACAAACTATGCCGGACAGCTGAGTTAGAGTCTAACATATATATGTAGAAAAATCAGAATGATATTTAAATAGGACAGTGGAGATAGAATACCTGATTGGCTACGTCAGCACGCTTCTTGAATTTATCCTTCAAGGAAATGTAACTATTTGGACTGTACCTTAAAGTAGTTAATGTTTTCAAAGTTGCTGCTTTCATTGTATGACTTTGAGAGCACTTTTGGTAAAAAATAAGTAAGCCACTAACAGCAGTCCCTTTAAATGCAGTGAAACAGACCTTCGGCCTAGAGGAATACAGCCTCTCTCAGGTCACCTTGGAGCAGGTGGGTTGTTGTGGCTTTTTTTGTCAGCCTCATCGGTGACCTATGTGTGAATCTGTCTTTCCGAAATACCCTGACATTTTTCTTTCTTTATTTTTTCACGTAGGTATTCTTAGAACTCTCTAAGGAGCAGGAGATGGGAAACTTTGATGATGAAATGGATACAACAGTTAGATGGAAACTCCTTCCACAAGAAGAATGTTAAAACCAAGATGTTCCTAACATTTGATTTTAGGTCCTACTAAAATCCACAATTCTAGGAGACTTATATTAACAACAAAAATATTCGGTCGTTTAAACACTCAATAATAATTAAAGCTATAATTGTAAAAACTATTTTAGGGTGAGGGGGACAAGGAAAGATAGAGAAAATTAGTAGTTACAGTTAACAAAATCACCTTTATTTTATCTTCAACATAGGCCGATTTTGTGCTTCATAATTCTAACATTACATAATAACTTGTTAGTTTTTGAGGATTGTCAATTGATTAATGCTGAGCACATTTTACAAATAAAAATATCGTTTTTTAGCTTAAGCTTCAAATATGTCAGCGACTTAAAAAATTATTTACTTAAATTCTAGTTTAGTGTGATGTTGATTATTAGAAGATCAAATAATTTGATGTGTGAAGTTGCACAGCATAATATTTTAATATAATGATATATTCTGATTATAAAATAAATATATGTGACTTTTAGGTTATATAGAAGTTATATGGATGAAAATTTTTTCCAATCTGTAATAAAACACCACAGTTAATATTTTGGCCAACCTATATTCAATGTATTTTTCTGAGTACTTTTTAAAAGTTGATATCAATGAACATAGTAATTTTCTTACCTCACTTCACAGTTCATGAACATTTCCCTAGTCATTATGACACTTTATGTAATAGTTGCATTGACGTAACGGCTGCACTGATGTACTATCATGGTTTTTACATTTTGGTCTTATACAAAGTTATGTCTTATAAATAAAGCTTTGATGAACTTCTCTCATGCCTTCTTTACTATGGTCTTAGGATAAGTCGTTCAGATCGCGATGGATGACTCTCTCTGCTCTGTAAGATCTAGATAACTTTAATTTCTCTGACCTGTAGAAATATTCATGGCCTATCTGCTATGGATACTTGTCCCTCCAAACCTCACATTGAAATTTGATGTCAACTGTTGGAGGTGGGGCCTCGTGGGAAGCGTTTGGGCCCAGGGGCATGTCCTTTATGAACGGCTTGGCGTCATCTGAGTGAGTTCTTATGCTGCTAGTTCCCAAGGGAGCAGATAGTTAAGAAGAACCTGGCACCTACCTTCTCTCTCTTGCCGTGTAAGCTCTGCACAGGCCGTCTCTTCTTTGCCTTCTGCCATGAGTGATGCCCACACCAGATGCCGACGCTGGTGCCATGCTTCTTGTGTAGCCTGAAGAATTGGGAGCCAAATAAACCTCTTTTCTTCATAAATACCCAACCTCCAGTATTCCTTTGTGGCAGCACAAATGAATTAAGATGCCGTCCTAAGATTCTGACATACCCCTATAGGAATTTTTAATCTCTTGCCCATCCTTAGTTATTTCTCTCATCTGCAGAACTCTTGTTGTCTGTTTGTGGTTTGCATCAGGTTTCTTATCTATCTATCTGTCTATTTCTTGTAGAGTCATGGGGTATAACTGAGGACTTATTACATAAATAGGCTGCATGCAGTTGGCGTTTGGGCTTCCAGGCAGCCCTCCCTCCCCGGTAGTGGACCGGGTACCCACTGTATTGTCACGTGCCTCCCATCCGCCTCCCTTCTCCCTCCCTTTCTCCCCTAGCAATGCCCAGAAACTGCCAGTCCTATCCTTGTGCCAATGCGACTCGTGGTCAGGCCCATTTAGAAGTAAGAACATGTGGTATTCAGTTCTTTGTTTCTGTGATAGTTCACATAGTATGATAGTCTCCAACTGCGTCCTAGTTGCTATGAAGGCCATGATTTTGTTCTTTTTTATGGCTGCTTACTATTCCATCACGTGCATAGGTACTGCGTTTTCTTTATCTAGTCCACTTACAATGGGCAGCAGGGTTGGCTCCATGTTTTTATTATTATAAATAGTGTAGTAATAAACTTGCATTGCAGGGGTCTTTTTGGCTAAAGCAGTTTGTGTTCCTTTGGGTATATTCCCAAGAGAGGGATTACTGGATCATATGGAAGTTCGATTTTTAGTTCTTTTAGAAATCGCAACACTGCTTTCCATAGAGGTTGAACTAGTTTACGTTCCCACCAACAGCATAGAAGTGTTCCCTTTTCTCTACTGCCATGCCAAAACTTGCTGTTTTTGACTTATTGATGACAGCCGTCCTTACCAGAGTTAGGTGGTATCTCATTGTAGTTTTGATTTGCGCTTCTCTGATGCTGAGTGAGGCTAAGCATTTTTTTCACGGCTGCTTGTATCTGCTTGTGTATCACCTTTTGAGAAGTGTCTATTCATGTCATTTACCCACATTTCAATGGGGTTGTTTGTTTTTTCCTTTCACTTCATTTGGGTGCCTTGTAGATACTGGATGTTGGACCTTTGTAAGATACATAATTTACCAATATTTTTTTCCCATTCTGTGTATTGTCTCTTTACTCTCTCAATGATTTCTTTTGCTGTGCAAAAGCTTTTCACTTTGATGGTCCTGCTTGTCTATCTTAGCTTTTGTAGCATTTGCTTTTGGGGACTTGGTTATGAATTTATTGCCTACTCCAATGTCCAGAAGGGTAGTTCCTATGTATCCTCTAGGATTCTTAAGTTTGAGGTTTAATGTTTAGGTCCTTGATCCATTTGAGTTGATTTTTTTGTATATGGTAATAGGTAGGGGTCCAGTTTCTTTATTCTGCGTGTGGCCAACGACTTTTCCCAACACCATTTGCTAAATATGGTCTGCTTTCCCCAGTGATTGTTATTGGTGGCTTTGTCAAAGATAAGTTGGTTGAGAGAGAGTGTTTTTACTTCTGGAATCTGTGGCCTGTTCCATTGGCCTATGTGCCTATTCCTGTACCAATACCATGCCATCTTGGTTACTGTAGCTTTGTAATAAAGTTTAAAGCCTGGAGATATGGTACCTCCTGCTTTGTACCTTTTGCTGAGCATTTTTTGGGCTACTCACACTCTTTTTTGTTTTCATATGAATTCCTGTATTGTTTCTAGGTCTTTGAAAAATGATGTTGTTAATTTGATGGGTACTGAATTGAATCTGTAGATTGTCTTGGGTATGATGGACATCTTGACAATATTGAGCATGGGATGTTTTTACATTTGTTTGTGTCATCCTTGATTTATTTGAGCAGCATTTTGTAGTTCTCATTGTAGTTCTCTGGTTAGGTAGATGCCAAGGCATTGTGTGTGTGTGTGTGTGTGTGTGTGTGTGTGTGTGTGTGTGTGTGTGGCTATTGTGAATGAAACTGTGTCTTTTTTTATTTTAGATGTGGGGTACAATTCAGGGTTAGGTATACAAACGTTGATTATGCAGTTGCCCTTGTTGATGAGGTGTGCTCTTCCCTCCCCTAGCAGTTTCTCTCAACTGCCAATCACTTTCTTACAGTAGTATGATGATTGTTCAAGGTCCGCTTATGAGTGAGAACATATGGTCCTCTGTTCTTTGTTTCTGTGATGGATCACTGAGTATGATCGACTCTAAATCCATCCAAGTTGCTGTGAAGTCCATATATTTGTCCTTCTTTATGGCTGCATAATATTCCATTGTGCATATGTACCACATTTTTTAAATCCAGCCCAGTTTTGATGGGCAGCATAGTTAGTCCCATGTTTTGCTATTGTAAATAGTGCTGCAGTAAGCATGCGTGTACAGGTTATCTTTTTTGTAGAATGATTTAAGTTCCTCCGGGTATATTCCCAATAGGGGGATTGCTGTGTCATATGGAAGATCAATTTCTAGTTCTCTCAGAAATCACCCCACTGTCTTCCAAAGACGTTGCACTAGTTTGCATTCCCACCAGCAGTGTAGAAGCGTTCCTTTTTCTCTGCATCCTCGCCAGCATCTGTCGTTGTTTGTTTTATTAATTATGGCCATTCTTACTGAGGTTAGGTGGTATATCAATGTGGTTTGGATTTGCATTTCTCTGATGATGAGTGAGACTGAACACTTTTTAATGTGTCTGTTGGCTGCCCATATATCTTCTTTTGAGAAGTGTTTATTCATGTCTTTTGCACACTTTTTAATGGGGCTGTTTGTTTGTTTCCTTTCGGTGCGTTTGAGTTCCTTGTTGATCCTAGATGTTAGGCCTTTGTCAGATATACAGTTGGCAAATATTTTTTCCCATTCTGTGGGTTGTCTCCCTGCTCTTTTGATGGTCTCTAAAAATATGGAACGCTTCGCAGATTTGCGTGTCATCCTTGCGCAGGGGCCATGCTTCTCTCATTTGCTGAACTCTTGTTATCTGGTTGGTGGTTTGCATCAGTCTTTTTCCCTCCATCTTGACATTGACTCAAAGGTTGGACTTGGCTTCTTGCCTTTGATCCCTACAATGATTTCCACTGGTAATATGTAAAAGGGGAAAGTTCTCTTGACTTCTAGAAAGGCCTAAATTTTTAATAAAAATTTGTCCTATATTTCCTTTTTTTGAGTTGGAGTCTCACTCTGTCACCCAGGCTGGATACAGTATCACACTCACGGCTACCCCAGCTGGGCTCTGGTCATCCTTCCACCTCAGCCTTCCAAGTAGCTGGAACTACAGGCCTGGCTAATTTCAGATTTATTGTAGAGATGAGGTCTCACCAAGTTGCACGGGCTGGTCTCAAACCCACGGGCTCAAGCAATCCACTCATCTCGGCCTCCCAAAGTACTGTGATGACAGGCTGAGCCACCGAGCTTAACCAGTGAAATTTGTCATATATTTCATGTGAGGTGAAGCCAAATATCACTTCACATGCATTCTCTGTTTTCTCATGAAGGGGCTATGCCCTCATAAATACAAAGAACTAATACATTGTCCTTAGCAGTCCTTGAAGTATTAGACAAGCTTATATCATAAGAACACCCATGAAGAGAAATGGAGTTCTAAGGTATCTACTGCTTACAATTGATTCTACATTCATATAAATTAATGCAAGTGGAGGCAGGTTGGGAAGAAGAACACCAGAGGGAGAGCTTGGCGAAAAGAAAGATCATCTACAGGTAACTCCTAATTATGGCTAAAAATTCCACTTAACACTCCATTATCTAAGATTTGAGTCGCTTAATTTCTGATTGACTTAAGAGCCTTTATGTGTTTTCCTCTCCATTCTGGTTCAGAAACTTGGTGGCAACAGAATAGGGAGATTGCAGAACCTTTCCCATAGCCCGAGGCCGGAAGACAGGAATTAAGTCTTAGGGCTGGTCCACCTTGGAGGAGGAGACAAAGTAGCAGGAACTGCTCTGATTGCAACCAGGTGTGAGGAGCCATGGAGCTGGGTGTCCTTAGACAAGTGCTGTTTCCTCTTTTCCCACCCGCCAAGGGCCCGAAAGCATGGATAGTTAATCACTGTCCAATCATCTTCTGCTACCTGGCTTAGTGATCGGTCCCTGATTATGTCTTATCATTCATTAGGTAATACGGAATTACCCACTCACTAGACACATGGCATCTGTTGGTTTTGTTTGGTGAACATGTCATCAGGTTAGCTCCAAGGATGGAGCTTTGAGAGTAGGGATGCACCAGTAAGAAAAGAAAAATCCATGAACAGAGATGGCTTTAGGGTTTTCTCAGCCATTGTCTACTCTAGAAGGAAGATCTAGAGTCGTGGAGTTTTAGGGCTCTGAATAGCAGAAAGCATAGCCTGCCTTTGTAGTACCCTTCTTTGACTCTCCCCTTGTCTTTGTGTCTGTATTCTGCCAACATTTCTGCCATGGCTGACTTCTCCACCCTCTACTCTTTAGGGCAGTAACTCTTCCTCTGGCCATGTGCTTCCTTATAGATTTGGCTCCCACACAAAGCTGGCTTCTTCATGGCTCCACTGACATCAAGGTCTGTCTCTGCACATTC